CCACTCTCGCCGCATCTGACTACCCCAAGAAAGGGGGTGCACGAGTTAGGGGCGCAGGTCCATCACACATGGGTGGCAGGGTCCACCATCCACCACTTCCCCGCTTTAGAACTGTGAATCGAATCTGATAATTCTAGCTTTGGTTCCGAGATCATCGAGCACGTTCCCTGCGGCCCTGCGGTCGTTCTTGGATTTTGGGGGGCCTTTTTTATCCTTTTTTGACGTCCCGACCCGGATCCCGACCCGGATCCCTGTCCTGCCAATCCATACCACCAGAAATACATTCCCAAAGGGCCAGGGTGGCCGTGCCCAAGCTGCAGAAGTACCTGTCAATTCTTTTCACAAAACTCCGACGCGTCACTATAGGTTCTTCCTGGTTCTTCTTTAAAAGCGACCTGATCCCCTTGAGGTCACCAACAGGCCTGTCAAGCGTCACTCCAAACAGGTCGCGACTGAAGAAGTTGGTTTTTGGCTTCTTCTGCGCACCCAACAACGCCGGCGTCACATCCAGTCCCAGTTAGGGACGTGACGAGGTGGCTGGAGATGGGGAACATCCGACCCCGTCACTGGACCCTGGTGACCCCAAAATCGGGTTTTAATGGAACAACACCAATAGCTCGCTCTACACGGTGTGTACACTGGGAAGACCTCCGTTCGATCGACCTGGAACACAACTCAGCCGAGGCGGGATCACCCACATGTCTCGACTCGAATCAGCAGGGTCTCGTGAAACAAGTCGCAACTTGACCGAGGACTCAGGATGGTTGATTTCACGTATGGAATTTCCATAGAACCCAGGTATGTCTGACATACCCAGACCATCCATGGAACTGGAAGAACTCTATGTTACAATGGGTCATGATGGGTCATTTGGATGGGGTTGTATGCGCTGCAACTCCTTGGAATCACAGGAATATCCATGGACCATGGTCTGGGTGAATGCAATTTGCGGAACACTTAGAGGACCGCTGCGACCACTGTATACCCCAAGCCAGCAATGCTCTGCATCGGATCACCGAAATCGGTTTTCGTGACAGGACGAACAGGACCTGAAAACTGGAGCGAACCTTCCAGGCCATTTGCCGCAAATGCAGTTCTTCAATGATTGTTCTTCGCGAAGTCAGAGCATTGATCAGAAACAACACGAGGTTTGAACCCGAAAACACCCGATGTTTCTGCTTCTTCTTCATCACCCCAGGCGGCCAGCGCGGCCGGCGCGTCACGCGCCGCTCGAAAGCGCGCCTCTCCAGCTGGCCATCCGACCCGTTGCTGGCGCGGTATTCGTTGGACTCGGATCAAGGGCGATTGGACGACAGGAGAACGAAGTCGAATGAAGTCTGGATCGAACAGTCTCCCGACACCTTCTCTTTAAATAGGGACGCATTATATAAGTGACCTCATGTTGACATCTCGAAAGGTCAGAAGGTCATGGCCGCCCTGGGGCATTTTTGGATGCCAAACGGCCAAATAGACCAATCACGTTGGACTCAGTGATGAGATTTACACAGCCTCAGGGAGTTTTTGACACATCGTGTCGTGTTGTCTTCTCTTACCTATGTTCATACCATCTCATACCTCGTTACTGCTGGCCTTGCTGCCCGCAAGAACCGTTTCCAGGATCCTTCGGATCGTTCCAGGGACAAGTCCAACCGAAGCCTCTGAAAGCCTCGTCGTCGTGTGGTCTAATGGGCTACTGGAGATCAGATTGCAGCATCATGATCATTCTACCCATATAGAAAGCCCGCCCTTGTGTGGTTCACGCCGTAAGCTCCATCTGCCGTCTGGCTTGGCTCAGTCATGGCATGTCGCTGCCAGGGTCGACCCGTCATCCAGTGTCTCGGTGATCTACCGGAACTTGGGTTTCGATCGACCGGAACGGGGGATGGACATGAGTAAGCACACATCCACATATTAACAGTTTGCATCCACCACCTCAGTCCGGTACATGTGCTCTGTTCAACTCTGTTCCACACGCCCATGACAAAGTGGGTGAAGCGAAATCTGTGCCAAATCTCACACCGTTTCAACACCAAATCTGGGCCCTGGACAATCTGAGTCATGGCCACAGCGACCGCATAGATCCTTAGCGACCGCATAGCTCCGAGCTTACTGCACCACGCCGTCAAGGGCGCAAGAGGGCAGTTTTCCCAACGACGAGTCCAACGAGTCTAGGGGCCCAACTATATCGATTTGTCTACACTCCCTAGAAACATCATGCGCGTAGCGGTCGGCGCGTAGGTCAGCGTGTGCTTCCTGGGCTGAACTGCATTCAGATGGAACGATGGCGTGATCGAATGGATTTGGCTTGGAATGCGGTTTTCCTTGTCGTTTTGGGAGCGGTTTCGTGTTTGGGTGGTGATTGGGCCGGCACAAAGCCACGGTCCGCTTTCCGAGTGAGTTGGAGTTGCTCCAAAGGGAGTCGTTTGCCAGTGCGTGCTGCAGGTACACTCCGAATCGATTCGTGGACCATGCTCCTCTGTTTTGGTGCTTTTCCGGGGCCAAACGAAACCCGTCTCCGTTGCTTCGTCTAGACGTTCCTTCGTCTGTAGCTTTCGAGTTCATCTCAGTCCAGAGGTCCACAGGGTCGGCGGGATCCCGGACAGCATGGAGAACAACAAGGTCGCCCAAAAGAGCGGCTTCAGCGACGCGACGATGGAGGACACCATGGTACCTGGAGACGGTCAGGGTGAGGTGAGGTGAAGGACGAGGTGGGAGAGTGGGGAGGAAATAGCAAAGACTGGTGATGGAAGACCGGTGAGTTGCATGAAGGTGAAGTCACACTGATGGGTTCAGGTCTTGTGTTTCTACCTGCTACATTGGAGATGAAAGAAATCAGAAGGTTTCATTTATGAAGATTGACAATAAGTTGCGGGGAGTGTTGCTTGGGTGGTCTCTATCTTGGACGTTGCAGAGTGCCACCCCGAAATGTTGTTTTTCTTTATAAACCAATGTAAACCACCCAGGGAACAAACAAAAAAAATATTGAACCCTCCAACAAAACGCGACACATCGCGTGCCTAACTGGATCGCGCACGTAGCTCAACGACCAAGTGCAGGACCCGGGCCAAGCGCATGATGCGGACAACGCCTGAGTATATACATTCGACGGTCGGGCCGCCTGTGTAGACGGCTCCGGCTTGGGAATGCACGGGCTCGGGATGCTCTGCTTGTTTGCTGTGGAATTCAACAATTGCTCTGATCAGGACATGTTATCCCATTCCAGTGGGTAGATATTTAACTTTGGGGATCATATGATGGACCAAAACTGAGACCAACAAAGATGGATGCGTTGCAAGTGACCTTGTGGATTGAAAGGTAGTATTCGACAAACATGGAAATAGATCTGGATGTTGCATGGTTAGCATATCCAGGAACCCGACTAAGCATTTCTCCTAAACCGCTGGGTCTTGGTTTTGACCACCCATAGGTTATTCAGTACAGAAGGGTTTGAGAAGCTGGACATCAGGTTCATTGAACATCAACCAACACATGAATCGCATCTCATGTCATCATTACAACCGCTAATGAATCAAATTCTATCAGATTATATATAATGAGTAAAAACATCATATATATATATATATATCATCATACATCATCAAGACTCTCCTTGAACCCATACAAACATGTACCGTCCGCATCTCCCCAAAACCTCCTTCCCAACCTTCCAAAAAAGGAACATAGACATAGACGTGACTAGAGACTTCCCTTCCGCCGATCCTTCTGCGTCCCCTTGACCGTTCCGTCGCATCGGGGGACGCAAGGTGCGAAGGATGCGCAAGAAGCCAAAGTTCATGGCCTCGGGCGCTTGGTCCGTCGGTCCGTGTGAAGCCCCCCAAAAGGGCGAGGGGACGAGAAGGTGTGAAGATCGACGATGAACACGGCAAATGATCCAAATATGCCAAAGATGTCCAAGATGCATTGCTGACCGAATGGCCCCAACTGACCGATCTTTTGGGCGACCCGAGAAACCCCAACGATGTTGATCAACGAAGGTTGGATCCGGACACGACGGCGAAAGTCACTCTCAGTGAGAGAATGTTCACACCAAGACTGGACACATGAGCTGAAGAGGATCGATCTGTTTGGGCCATTCAGAGTAGATTTGGAACACTGGGCCGATCGACATGTTGACCGCTTTTCTCGACACAAACTCCCCCTGTTTCACTGGTATATAGCTCCTCATGCAAAAATCGACCACAAATCAAATCACAAAGAATTCACCCTGCTTCATCTTCCTTCAGCTTCCTCGCGCACGTGCACGCATGCGAGTTTGAGCGGCTGATGCATGTCCATCCAAGTTGAAGAGGAGATCCGCCACCTGGTTCGTTGGGTTCTTGGTGGGCAAACTAGAGTTGGTGTAATCAGTATGAGGCTCCTGTGCCCCTGATACTCTGAATGGACAGCCGAAGTGAACCAATACAAATCTGGACTCTACCACAGCATCCCACTGAGGATGCTGTACCTCCCAAAAGACTTGGCGTCGATTCGTCAATGGACCATGGATAATATTTAAAGTAAGTGAAACCATGTTTAGATAAAGCACATGAACACAGGGCCGCCTTGAAAATCAAGACCGATGTCTTCCTCGATGTCTTCCCGTACGAAGCGACCCTGTACGAAGTGGATGCTCATCTGACTGCGCACCCAGAAGGGACCCTAAGTGGGCCTTCGTACACCCTACCCCTGCCATCCCCTGACTGTGAAAAGACATATGCCCACCAAAGCGGTCAGCGACGTTGGGGATGCTTTGACGTTGGCCATGAAATCACCGGGAAGTGGAACACATTGGAACACGGACCCTATGATGGCATCTTTGATCAAGTGACTCTTGGGTTGAAAGTACGTCTCCTGAATTCTCTTCTCGGAAGCGGCTGTGGATGCAAGTCCAGCCGTCGTTGCAGGCCGGCCTGCTCGAACCACTGAAGGCCCACGATCAAAAAGTCAAAGAGATTCCATCTGAGGCGACGAAGATGCATGTGCGGTCAGAAAAAAAGTAGGGAGTGCTTCACCCCTTCCCTATGAGAAGAGTGCATGCGTAGCAATAGCAGCACCTCAATTACAAAGTGGGAGTAGTAGCGGCACTAGTAGGATGCAATAGGAGTAACTGATGTATAATGAGTATAGTGGGAAATGCAGAAGCAGGCAAAGAATCCATGAAATCGCCAAACATGCACCCTGAAGTATTTCTGACCTCGCCTCCCAAACTATGCAGAAATCGGCCAACCACCCACCTGTTTTCGTCTGTGCTGTCCACCGGAGGCCTCCAATCGGGGCCCCAAAAGAAGTCCAAGCCGTGCACGCCAACCCTGGGAAGAATTGACACCACAGTGTCACAGGCATTTGGATTGCTGAACATTGGACTCCTGATGCACGAGATCGCTTGTTTTGCTTCACCGAAATTTCCATGTGGATTTGTGTTGGACTCGGATTCTAGTCGGGAAACCAAGTCAAAAAAGTTACACGATGTTAAAGGTTATCCACTGACTGGGTAGGATTTAATGAACAAGGCAATGGACACAGCGTCTTAAGATGTCTTAATGATGACCTTGTCAGGCCTGCCAAGCCTCTCTCAAGAGTTGAACACCATTGCCACTGATGACTGTGAGTGAGTCGCCAGAGCGTCTGAACATCGAAATCGTCCGTTCTTGGCTTCAACGACTAGCACTATACTCATATCTACACCCGACTAAGGTCTATGTCGGTCTCACCCGACCACCAGCGAAAAACCATGACGGTGCCGGGACGATGCCCCGTGAAAATCCGAGTTGAACTATCCGCAATAGGGTGACAACAACACCGCAATCGACATCAATCGACAACACAGCAATGAAAACAGAAGGTGCACAGCGGAAGATCACGGAAGGATGTAAACTTGGCAGAGAACAACAGGAAGAAAACAACAACGATTGGTGTGAATCTGCTGGAGGCTCCCCACTCACAACACTTCATGGTTGTTCAGGACCTCTACCGCTACCTGATACCGAAAAAAGAAGCTTTATGACCCAAACACGAACGGTGCTCCGCTCCACCGCCGCGACGAGTCACCTCAAAGAAACCTCCACTGTGAAGACATAGCCTCGGTCCGATTGACAGGTGGTTTCCCCTCCACCAACGGGGTTGTGGTCGTTTTTTCTTCGATTCTCCGTTGTCCTGTTTTTTTTTCCCATTCTTTTAGGTCTCCCTATAGATTCTACCAGTAACTAATTCACACCCGTTGGGTTGGGACAAAATAGATGTCTTCTACGAGTACAATCATCAGCAGCCCGGGGGTGGCTGGACGATCAGACGTCCCATCTGTCGGGATCGGATCAGCGTATACGGCGTATACATGTCCGTGTGAGTCTGATGTGATAAATAGGTCATAACGCATGGAGGCGCGGAGCGCGTAGCAACCGGCGTAAACGCCGCAGTCTGCTGAGTTTGGACAGTCAAACAATCACTACATCCCAGAAACCCTGAAATAAGTAGCTCAGTCAACTAAGATTTACCTCACAAGAGACCCTGAAGAGAGCAAAATCCCATACGACGCATTGGGTGTAGTTTGCTGGCTGTAGAAATCGAACAAATCATAACAAATCTGAGGTCTTAGACTCTTTGGACAATATTATATTTTACCTGACCCTTAAACTCAATCTTGACATGTCATGACCCACCATATTCTACCTGCACCGCTGTGTGAACCGCGGTCGTGCGCACGGCTGGCTGTAAGCTGGCTGATCTGGTTCACACCCCTCCGATGCTGCTGACCGTTCCGAACACCCACGGCGCTGACCGTTCATACCCCGTGCTGCCGGGGAGCAAAAGAGAGTGGACACTGCATGAGAGAAAGGCAAGCGACCAATCCCATCATGTCGTGCCTCTGGCAGTCGCGCTTGGGCCCCAACAGAAACCGAGCGTGGGGCCCGAACTGAAACCGCCCCGCCCGAGGTCAGGGATCTTCATGAGGCCAGGGACCACACAGGAGCTCTCGGAACGCAGAAAGGATGGTGGACACCTGAAGGAGCCCTGTTTCCAACATCTGAAACCTCACTGATCCAATTCTAGGCGCTGGGGCGAACGTGATGAGGGATCGATCTTTTAGAGTCGTTTTAAGCCCTCGTGGTTCCCAGGCACCGGATGCCACCACTCTCACCCAGGCACCGCGTAGTCGGTCTCCATGCCAATGCTCACAGCATTCACCATGACCAGACCTTTCAAGGGCATCTCATGGGGCATGTCGGCATGTCTTGCGCACATGGGACATCTCATGTTCAGTGATCCTATCATGATGAATTATTGAAGTAGTACTGAACAATAATGAATTGAAGACAAGTTCAATTATGTAAGACAAGTCTCATGTTCAGTGATCTCAATTATTGTATAGAGTTCTTTTTGTTTTACTGTCATACAATAATTGCAGACTTGTCTGACGTCCTTCTCCCGAGTCGTCTTGTGAAACCATCTTCTGTGTCTGGAGTGTTAATGACCGAGCGCCTTAAGCTCCCTTGAGCATATATGGTGGTTGATCAATACTTGCTCATGATGGAATGGCCATTGTTCGCAATAGAGTATCTTCAGTGGATCTTTCATGGCCTCATTGAACGATGTAAACACAAACGGTAAATAGTGATTGACACCTTGCAGCATGATGACCTGCACAAGGTGGACAGTTGCTACAGCTACTCTAGTGTCACTTGCAGCATCTGCGCGGCAAACCTTGACAAACCTTGAGAGTCATGCACAACCCTTGTGCCAGCTAGCAACATAGGGTATATTATAATCATATGCAGCTGGGGGAATGGAGGGAGGCTTAAGTGTGTGGAACTGGGACTTTAACGGCACATTTGCGGAACTTTCGCAAAACAACACTCGTGACAATTCCCCGAGCGTGCAAACATCTGCACAAACTGTCAGAGCTGCAGATCGTTGCCCCACTGTCAGGCATGAGCAAGGGTGATGTGTGCGAGTCTGTGTGCTGCGGAAGGACAACTTGAGTTCGCAGTGGGGAAAGGAATCGGAAAGTCCTTTACGCGCTGTGAAGGCTGCGACAGGGACACTTCCGCCCGCCGGCTCTGCCGGAGGATTGTCTACAGTATCTTTCTATGAAGACATTCGATAGATGCTCTGCAATAACAAATAATTGCACGAACCTCATCGCAGATCTTTTGTGGATGGTGTGGACAGCATCAAAAGGCCTATAATTAGGTGTTTTTGATCACGTCACCATTAAATCCTGCGAATGGTCTCGCTTCTTTTGCGTTCACGAAGGAAATGGTTTGGATGTCGATGCTGCAAAGGAAATCTGAAAGAAAACACGATGCAAATTTCTTTGCTCACAATCCCTATGGATCCACATACTCTCTGCGAGGGTGATTGGAGACACATTTATGTATAGGCTTGGAGGGTCCAAGTACCTTCTGAGAAGGTATATGTCTAGGTGTAGATCGATCGGGACTAATCTCTCTTGCAGTCACACAGTGTCACCTTCGACTGGCGCAACTTTCCTCCCCCAAAATCATCCAAAATAACAATCTTTCACCGCCCCAACAGCCAGAGTGCTTCGCTTTTGACCAAATAGAGCGTCGACTACTCGACTCGTCTGGTCTCCTCCTGTCTCCTCCGCGACCGTTCGATACCTCCGCAGCAGCGCCGAACGTCGGACGTCGGACGCCCAAGGCGCTGGTGATGAAGTAGCCGAAGGCGTCCGACTCCACCAAGTTCCGCAGCCTCCGATGGAGCAGATATCCGATGCCAGGCGACCGAGCGACCCAGCGGAAGCGGAGCGAAGAGCGGACGAAGGGCGCGGGAGCGACGTCCGATGGACAAGAAGGTCACTCATTTGGCTGGGAGCTCGTGTGTGCAGGATGGGAGAATGTGATGCAGGATGGGCCTGCGTTCATTCCATGTTTGGTGAAACAAGACGTGATCTCGGGATTTGCCTGAACAAATATGTTCACATATCTTACTTATATTATGTGGATGTTGACACGCCCACACTTCGCACATATGATCATGTGTGCATACATTGGCAGCACAAATGAAAATAAGAGCCAGTAAGAGCGACCAAACCTGGACCAAATTGCAAAGGAACAGAAGAGGACCTCAATGTCTGCCCCAAAAGATTCCTCATTCAAACGATACAAACGGTGAAACAACCAGCTTCTGTATATTTTTTTCCGGTGATCGTTTATGAACCGGCTAAGTTTCGCAACATTGGGGACTCTGTTCCGAACCATGCTGGAAACTCCAGGGCTGCAGCAGGCGGCTGCAGGGCTTCCTTTTGTGGATCATTTTCATGGATTTATCCAGCTTTTTGAGGAAAGAGTGCCAGGCTCCCGCGCTTGCTGGTGCAAGTGTCTCCTTTCAGCAACACCTGGTCAAAACGGAAAAGCTGGTGGCTTGTTCTTCCTCCGGATTGGTCGCCCAGCCCTGAAAAATGCTTGTGAGAAGCCCAGGCATTCCGGCGATGAGTGACGACATAAAATCATACATCAATAGAATCGTAACCCTAATAACTTTAGCTCGCCCAGACCACTTTGCAGAGCAAAGTTTTCTTTGGGTTCCAATGTGCATTCCGTTGGTATCTTGTTGGGTCACCCCTATCTTCATGACAAATGGATCATATAATATATACACATGTTATAGCGGCAGCGTTCTTGCCAGTTCTTGCACTCAGCTAGATCCTCTTCAAAAATGGTCATGCAGCGGGACTCAACGCAGCTCCATCTCCACCAGGTATAAAGCATCTTCCAGGAAGCCAGGTTCAGCGTCCACGTCCACTGGAGGGAGCCCTTTGTAAAAAGGAGGAACAAAGCAGGTCCTGCAAGGAAGCTACTGTCTCCCTAGGTGGTAGGAGCCCTTGGGTCTGAGAATGACAACGGCGTGTCACCTAAAACAAAGACCCCTCATAAACACCAGGCCAGTTTTCAAGACATATTCAGGGTTTGGACAGGTCATCCCACGTTGAGACAAACCGTCTGTGTGTTAGCAAAAAGATTGGCCTCTATCCGTCAGGTTTGTTAATTTTCGGGGTCAACCAGAAGTATATATAAACATATATCATATATTATATTAACTATCTAATAAAGAACAAACACCTAATATTATATTATAAAATATTAATCAATAGTTTGTCTATGTTTGTCTTAAATAGTGAAAACCTTGAACATGGTCGATTCTTGTGGGGGCCAGCGGGGGTCCCACATCGTCACATCTCCAACGACGCCACATCACCGCCACATCTCCAACTTTCCGCCTCTTCCTCTCCGACTCGAGCACAACAAAGCTGTCTGGGCTGGTCAGAAAGGCCTCGGAACATGCTCTCGGACCAGGATGACCATGGATGACCATGACGTCAGGTCCATGCCCTAGCGATCCAGTCGTATCTTCTCAGAAGGCACCTGCACCCTCCAAACCCACCCCAAACACCTTCTGAGAAGGCACTTGGATTTCTAGCGATTTGCTTTTGCCTGATGTTCCTTTGGGACAACCCTGTCACATCGTGCCATGATGCGGTGCATGTCGTGCTACTCTCAACGGAAGGATCCGAACCTGGGAGATTTGGGATGGTTTGGATGGGATCCAGGTGACAGTCCTCAGTCCGCGAAGAAGCTGGCGAGGCAATGGCCTAAGGATCTGCCCCTTTCAGAAGACGTCCCTGAAGGATGACGAGATGATGACTCTCCCTGCTGGGTTTTTCGTGGATCCGAGAAGAGCAGCTTTGATACAGAAGAAAGCCGAAATGTCCGGCACAGGTAGACACAACAAAGGAGTACAGCGTTTGGGGTCCCAAACCATAAGTGGACACTGCTCTACATCACCCATGACTCGACTGTCGGAGCTGTCGACCCCAAGCAGCTCCCGGCTACGCTCCAGTGGACCTCCCCTGTGGTCGTCCAGAGTTTGTGGGTGCCATTACGCCAAACCTTCCCCTTCACATCCCTTCACCAGAAGTCATAGTCCATCTTATTCCACCCCAAGAGCCGAAGCAGCTCCCAGGCTGGTTCCCAACGAAAACGAAACACCAACAAAGTGGCCTCAAACGAAGGACCATGAAGGACCCTTTGAGGTTCTCCAGGTGTCTCCAGGTGTCTTACACTATATTTGACAAAATTGTAAATTTTGTATAATACCTTTCACATCCTTTCACTGGGTTTGGAGATTTGAGTCAAATCGTTAAATCCACACAGTGCATGAGCTACTCACAGTAGGGCCCCCAGCTTGCGACGAAAGGCACCCCCTGCCGTCTGCTGCGGTCATGTGTGTGCACACGCCTTGTGCGACATGAGTCTGCGGATCTGATTGCAATGTTAGAATGCAGGGGAGTGCGACATGAGTGCTTTTGACCCCACAAAAAGCAATGCTACCACTGAGTCCAAAAGACATGGCGTACGGAGCTACCTCTACAAGGTCTGACCAGCCTGTTGCATGATTTTTGGCTCGTCGTGCGAGTCGTGCGTCCGAAGTGTGTCACGTCGTGAATTGGTCTTCGAGATGACGAAGAAGTTGGGAACTTTGAGACCTTGAAACCAGACTGAAATCATTCGCTTGAATCCACCCGCTAGCGGGTGAGGTTCTTTTTGAGGGCTTCGGATGGCCTTTTTGGCCATCTAAACCATCCAAACCCGGCCGGTTTGCTTTTTCTTATGGGTCAAGGTCTTGTCCGCACCGGTTGTTACCACCATGCATATTCATGGTCCTGAAAGTATTGCCTCATCAATTGGCTAAGTATCCAACCACTTTGCAAAGTCCTTTGGACAGGCTCTCTTTAATTTATTCACTGTCAAATCGTTTCCGATCTGGCATTGTTGATCGGCGAGCAATTTCCTCTGCTATACCCTCCCTCAATCAAACAAGTAGAAGACAGGCAGGGTTGATGGAGAAGAGAAAGCGAACAGAAGGGGCTCTCCAGGCAGGGTTGATTGGGTACAGGCCTCTGAAAGAGAACATTCCACCCAGGAGCTCTGCTCAGAAGTTATTCATGTCTGAGGATGAAATTGCAAAGGGAGAGACAGCTGCATCATGAAGGACACACTCAAAGGACACCGGTTCGCTTACGCTGGCTTACGCTTGTGAGTATGTCACATGGGTGGAGCATGTCTGCTGAATCCAGGAATCCCGTTTAGCGTCACTTGCAGCACCAATGCAAGAATGCATTCCATTCATCACTGCGAGGATCTCAGGGACCTCTCATCTAGCACTGCGCCCATCCAATCTGAAGATCCCTCAGCGTCCCTCGCTGTTCGCGCCACATAGCGGAACCAACTGCCTATGAGACATCGTTTTCCGGCAACAAGAACACCAGAGCGACCGATGTACCGATTTCGCCGCCCGCCCCGCCCTTCCGCCCCGTTCTTAGTGGACGTCCACTCGGTCGATCCGAGCGGACGCGGAGCTCCACCCGCCCGACATCCGCCTCTTCCAGAGTGGATGGGAGTGGATCCGACCTCCTTGGCTTCTCGTTTCGCCCCGATGAACGGATGAACGGTCGGACCGAGGCGGCGGATTCGGGTTCGGGTTCGGAGGACAATCCGGGAGCGGGAAGACGACCGGTCGAAAGAACAAAGGGGGTATCGGCGGTATCGGTATCGGTATCGGTATGATGATGCAGGGAGGGGAGGATGATAGATTATGATCAACAGTCAATAGTATACTATCTGCACTACTATCTGCAGGAGTGTTCGTTGAGAATAAGCAAACACTAGATTCTAGATCCTTCAACAACTAGCAGTTCCAAAGGAATGGTTTTCAGTGCCGAAGTGACACCCCTTTCACTCCTGGAAAGGATGTACTGGTTCATACCGATGGAGCTGTCAAAATCTGGAGATCTCAACACACATGGAAAACTGCCAACTAACCCCTGACCGTCAGTCTCCTTATATAGTATCTTTAAATGCTTTTGAAGTCACAAAACTCCTGGATATTCCTGGACAAAAATTCCGGATCCTCTCCAAAAAGCACATGAAAAAGGATCAAACACATCTTCATGGGCAAACGTCCATCGATCTCCCCGCTCGAATCTCGCAGCCGCCTCGCACCCAAACGAGGACCACCGCCTGAGACGGTGGGGAGCTGGTGTGGGCGACACCACCGCGGAAGTGCTGGGCGACACCACCGGTGGTTCCGAGAAAAAACATCAAGAGCGTTGAACTCCACTCCCAAATCTGCCCAAACTTTGGGCTTATGGAAAAGCTACTAGTAACAAGTGCCTTACTAACTAGTAGTAACAAGTGCCTTACTACTAGTAACAATAAGAATTTAATTGGGCTTATGGGGCAAAAGAAATGCAGGTTGAATGTTCTGCACATCCCTGGACGGTGATTTTAGAAAGAGCTGCTACTGTTGGAAAGATCCGAAGATGCTCTGGAACAGAAGTGGATATTCTCTTGTTTTCCTGGTTCTATGTCGGATCATGATGGAACAGTGGAACAGTATACTAGCTATGTATCATTATGTATCGTACTTACTCATCCAAATGATACGATCACTTGGTCACTTGGTGTTGCTTCCCCCTCATGTAAAAGAGAGTCCACCATCATCCACCATCACGAGGTTCACCAATCCATGTCCAGGTGGGTGGGTCAACTCTGTGGTCATCTGCACCCGACGCAGTCAGGAGGACCCACTGGCCAAGAGCTCTGCAGTTTTCTCGATCACCCACTGGCCTGAGCGGCCCAAATCCTGGGGCGACGGGTGAAGTCGAAAGGAGCACCAGAAAGCTGAAAGAGCGGAAGTGGAGAAGTGGATCTAGCTCAAGAAATGCTGAGGCCTTGCAGATAAAATATAGAACATATATGTCTCCAACTCGCAAACCTCAACGGTATACCATCGCCCACCTGACACTGTATTACTAGCTATTTTTGACACATCGACGTTGGGATCTTCGTGGGGTTACGCCTTTACGCCGTCGACACACGCCATCGACGGGTGAGATGTGAGGAGAAGCATCGTCTGCAGTCTCAACAAGGAAGATCAAAGAAAGTACACGCATTCACCTGCATCACAAGCACGTGTTACGTAACCCAGACGGACTGCCGAGAGACGGCCAGGGGTGGTTGACTGGGGGGTCTGGGGTTGTGTCTAATTCAGAGCAACGGCTACAGCGTACGGTTTGGCCATGTGTCAACTCCAGAAAGCGGAGTGATGCACCTGCCACTGAATGCCTCAATGATCCAGCACCAGAGGAATTGAAGCCACATGGCTGAGGGACCCTGGTTGACCACCAAAATCAACTGAATAGACTACAGCCAGGAGGTCCACCTTACCAAAGTGAGTTCCAGGCTTTGAGCTCATATGCAAGAAGCCAATAGAAACAAAGGGCATTGCTACCAGCAACAAGGGCATTTCTACTAGTAGTAACAAAAAGCTAGTGGTAGCTAGCAGCTACTAGGTGGAGGCCATCGCTAGTAGGTTCGCGCCTCGTCGAACTCTGCCGACCGGGAAGAGCGGCTGCGGCTCTTGATGATGCCATCCTGACAGACGACTTCGTCCCTTCATGTCCTTTCGACATGAAGAACCGTCGGAACTTGGATGAGTTCTTCATGCCATGTCTGGCCAATGGTCAACAAGAAATACACAAAAAGTGGGATGATGGAACAAAAAAGTGATTGGCACGATCGAAATCTGGTGACCTGCGCAGTCACAGGCGATTTCACCCTTCCTGAAACAAGGTGTCTCAGTTGGCGTTTTCGTCCGAGCCTCCTTCTTCTGCTGTTGCCAACCGGTGCAGCTGGCGAAGTGATCCCCCCCCCTCGCCCAGGCCACCGGACGATCGCAGTCTGGAACTCCGTCTCGATGTTCTTCCTCCAAAAGTGGAACATCGGAGACCAACCAACCAAATACGATCCAAGTACCCTCAGATCTAGAAGGTACTGGACCCGACAATGGCACCCATGTTTAACTGTGTCGAACACATCACCGTACCTGAGGTTCGGTACGACTGGATCTTCAGGGAAAGCTGTTGAAGCCGACCGTCCACCATTTTGACCAATCTCATAGTGGGTACGGTAAATGTGTCGAAATCTTCCCTGCAGTCAAAGAAGGAACCAAAGAACCAATATGGTATCACTATCACCCAAATTGAACTTGGTGATGCACATGCAACATGTGACAAGTTCTTTCGATTCACAAGTGGTCACCTGGTGTCCCTCAAAAAATGGAGCTTTCGTCTTGCAGCCACTGAACTGAGCTTCGATGCATTCTTCAACATGGCCGTGTTTCCATTTCACAGGGGTTTAGGAAACAACAGATGAAAACACCTTAGAACAGGGCCATCAGGCAGGTTCGACTTCGGAGGACCAAGGTCAAATGAGACAAACAGACAAACGGGAAAGTCTGGACTACCAAGCCCTGTGAGCTCAAAAACAGGCGTTCTCAGTATATACTTAATATAGGAACCATTTGCAGGAGACATCCTCTGTTTGTGCTTCCTCGGGAGACGGTCAGCCCATTTCCAACGGAAAACGCACTCAACGTCCAACTGGTTGAGCCGCCGCAGCCGCCGCTTCGTTCGGAGCCGAAGCTCATCATCGGAGCTCAGAACGTCTGGTCCAAGACGTCAGAACCCGGAGACCAAAACACCCGGAGACGTGCGGAACCGCCACTGCCTATACCCGGTACCGTTAGAGACACACTCATGTACTCACTGCTTCTTTGGGGCGAACGACCAAGCTTCAGGATTCATCAGAAAATCAGACATTGTAGACTCACCCCAGTCTGTGTCATCTCGAAACATCACATATTCCAAGCTGCATCCTTTGGATCCAAGATTTATCTTCAGCTCAACGATCATGAGACCGAACGAAGCTCACTCTCGGTTCACCTTTCTGCTCCCGGGTGGTTCCCCCACCCGACAGTCGACGGTCGGTTCCCCTTCTGAAGGCCTGAAGCCCTTCTTCGTGACTTCCGCCATCTCCTCGGTCAGACCCACTCAGCACAGGTTCGACTTGGGCACAGGTTCGGACCCAAGCCCAAGCCATGGGACCCATCCATTGCCTACATCAACCCCTTTTCAACCACCCAGGTGGTAGGTCTACATAGGCCAGTCCCATGGAGGGTCTGGGAAGGGATTATGAGGACAGAAACAAACATGTTGATCAGGATGTGCGGCACATGATGGCACATGTATTCAGGACTTAGGCGTGTCTGTCAAAGGAAGACCTCTGGACAAAAAATTAAAGAAAACGCACAAAGTTTGTTCCATTTTCGATCGGTCCAAACGCGAAGTCATCGCACTCACCACGATCAACAACACCGAGGACGCCCTCGGCGGACGATGGCGGACGCGAGGACTTCCGATCGTCATGGGCTTCGCGGCGCGACACCCACGACGCTTCCGACGAAGAGTCGATGAACATGGTCTTTGCTCTGATCATCACAGAAGTGGAGTTCACCAAGCTGTTTGAACACTTCAAGGGCTCCCGCCCCGGCCCCACCTCCGTTCCGCTTCGATGGTGGTATTTTTGTTGGTGCGGTCGAAGGTCCACCGGTCACCGGGTTGGAGATGGGGCGTTCGGAGCCCGAGAGGGGTTTAGATGATGTAAAAAGAAGTCATCCTTTCGGAGCCATGCCATCCACTTCCATTATGATGTCTGACAGAGTCATGTAGTAGAGGTCATGCATACCCCACCCCATTTTCTCCGGCTCCGCGCGCCGCGCGGTAGTCAAATGCCACAAGGGGGTGGTAAAAATGGCACATCATGACACGTTACCAACAGAGGTTAAGTAACCTTATAGGACCCTACCAGGGTACCTATGGAATAGCCTATAGGGTTCTTCAACCTCTGTTGGTATGGCACATGCACCAGGAAACCTTGGTTGACCTACGAGGCCATCGAATGGACCTCTCTACCAAGTTCGTGGAAAGGCGCTTCCTTTGGCCGTTGACCTTAGTGGATCTGGCGTTTGGACCGAGGTTCAATGGCCCCTGTTGTGTCAGATTCGTTGGTTGGCGTCGAAAACCAGATGCACGATCGCACGATCCACGATCTAACTGAGACTTTCGGCTGCATGGGAATCAAGTTAATATATATATATATTATATATATATATATATATGTGTGTGTGTGTCCATTGGGACACATATGGTCCAAACTGACAAGCGTATTCATGCTTGTGTAACTTGTGTCCAAATAACCCAAACTCTTACCCTGTCGTCAGCTCCTCATCATGATCCACGCTGCTCCTGCACTCGAAATATGCAACATCAGCTCTTTAGCCGAACAAGGTCATTCTCTGCAGGAAATGCTCACACACAAACTCTGAGGGAAACGAAATGACGATCTCCCTCACATCTTTCCAACCACCTGCACACCTGGAACCTCCCGCTGACTAGGCAACGGTCAGTGGGCTGCCACGCTTTTCTTTGGGGCTCTGGGCAAAAAAGGCTGTTGTGAACTGTTGCAAGTGTTTCTTGTGTTCATCGAAACGATAAAGTTTTATGAGGTCTTTGGTTCGCAAGGCTAGTTTAATTACATAGAATTTTCTTGAACAAGGGTCAACCTGACATGGCATTCTTTTTGTGCTACACATTTGCTGTGCTGAGTCCATTGAGTGCTACTATGTGCTAAGTAATCATGATAGCACTTGTCACTTTTCAACTTCCTAGCAAGACCATCGCTTGGCTTGTGCCAGCTAGGTCACAAACTCGTTGTCCTTTAGGTTAGGTCACAAAATAAAACATAACATGCACAAAAAATGATCCATGAGTGTTTAGACCAAGGGAAGGAACCATGAAACACACTATTGAAATCCTCTCGCCAACAGGATTATGTACATCAGGCACACACTACAAGCAGGCTGGCTGCAAGCTGGCGCTCCCCAACATGTCCAACATAACGTGTAATGTTAATTTGTCATGTACTTATCTGGTTCATTCTTGTCTTAACACAAACATATATATATATATATATACAGAATATAGATACGATATGTTCCTTTTTCGTCCTTTTCCCACTGGATCTTCATCCTTGACTTAACAATGTTTGTTCTTCTATTTCTTCTTTACATCCGGGCACGCAACTTCGCACCTGGCGGTGCTCTCCACGTCCAAACGGGACGAGACCGGAGCCTTCCACGGCCCGGACCTCGGAGTCTCCGCATGAGTCGCAACTCCAAAGGCTGCCCTCGTGGTCAGCTATTCGATCCGTCATTGATGGCAAACTGGTATACATCTGGGATCTGCATCCTGTGGTTGCTGTCTACTGTAATCTCAACATATCTCAACTCTGAAGGACAAAAAACTAGCTGCAAATGCATACAAATAAATTTGCCATGGGCAACGAGCAAAGTGAGAACCACAACATTTAGTAAATCTCTGAACCGTTTCTTCACCCAACAACCCTGAACAAGCACATTGCCATTTCAGGAAAGAATTACGTCACGGCGTCTTTTCTCAAAGAAAATGATTTTTGGTTGTGACAAGGTGAGGCCACCGTAAATTTTGTGGTCGCGAGGTGAGAAACCCAGCAAGAAACGGCGTGTTTTAGTATTCAAACGGCCTCTTTCCCAGTCCAATCTTGAGCTCATGTTGGCAACCCCTGAAACAACACTTTGTTTGATTGCGGCATCTTTTGTGCTGTTTGAAGCTCCAGGAATATAGGTATACCTTATAATCTTCCTCTTGTGCATAATTATATAAATCTTAGGACACTATATATAAGATACTATGAACCCCAAAAAAAGGTTAGGGGCTTTGCCCAGCCTCTCTATCCCGTCTTGCCAGGTGCCGCTTTACCGGAAAAAAACCACCGCGTGAAAAGACCCACCCACCAACTCGAGCTCCCGAACGCGGCGCTTCGCTCGGGCTGAGCATTTAAGTCCTCGGCGACGCGTTTTCATGGCTTGGATCGACCGACCGAAGCGATTGTGGGAACCATCCGTCCAGAGAAACCCCCAACCGCCCGACCGACCGATGTTCATCGGGAGGCACTCGTGTGTTCACCCTTTCATCAAATGATATGATTGAGACCCCCAGCATATGACTCCCCTGAGCCCAAAGTAAGGCCAGGAGCCCCTAGTAGCGTCCTTGCTCCTAGTAGCGATGCCAGACTCCCCTGAGCCCAGATTAGGGCTCGGTCAATGCGCCGCGCATTCCCCCTTTTCTGACCGAGTGTGGAAAGCGCAAGCCCCGACGGAGCCATTGACTCAACGAAGTCACAGCGACATCGGACGGAGCTGTGCCTCAAGGAGCTGCCGACGAAACTTCTCCAGCTGGTCCTGGTGAAGTGGCGAAACTGAACAGCGAAGGAAAGAATCTTGGGTCGGACCCACATCCTGGACCACCAACCCCGCCAAGCAGGACTCCCCAAAACAGGCAGGCTTTACACGCTCACAACTCTTCAAATCAATGCAAATCCGAAAGTCTGTTTTATCGCCAGTCCCTATAACCATCTGAGCCAAGAGTTCTGAGTTGAGTCGATGTAATTCATTTGCAAGCCAATTCCTCCCACACGCAACGGTGAAGAAAACTAAGGCTTGAACCCGAGAACGGACGAAGTACGGATCATGCCGGTGATGACCGGCATGATGGGTTCACACGGGAAGAAAGGACCAGCTGCTCCATCGTGCTCTTTGACACAGAACTTCATTAGCTTCATGTTGTTTGACTCGATGAACTTCTGCACCAGGTAGTCATGATCCACCATTTGCTATATTTGGACTTCCAGGCTTGGTGGCACCTAGATCGAATTCCTCAATCCCAAACAGTTGATGTAAAAGAAGTCATGGTTCTACCTGCATGGGAAATATGTATGCACAAATTTTGAATAGAATGGTAGCGGGGAACATGTCCATCTGGGTTCATACAACAACTCAAAGAAGTCAAGCCAGGGGGCTCCCGGGAAAGTGCGGACTAGAAAAGGGGCCAGCAACTTTGAAAGCTCATACACATCGAGAAAACAACAATCATTGAAGATACGTACCCCACCGGCGTTTTCCCACCACCTTACCTCAACAACATGTTAACGTCTTTCCAGCGAATGGGCCACTGGCCGTAAATATCCAAGGTCTTGTTCTCGTTACAACCCCCTATTTCTCACCCTCTCTGCTTCCCAATTTTCCAGAACCCTTTGCAGCAAGAATGTTCTCCTGTGCCTCTTTTGGCCCTGTGTCATTCACCCACATCAGCCACATCCAATTCACAGACTCAGAGACTAAGAAGTGGTCCAAACTGACCTCCTCGGTTTGCGTGGAAAGTGGTCAACAGTTGACCGCATGCGCAGTGCTGCTCCCGCGGGCCTTCCGCCTCTGTCATTGAGTGGAGATATGCTCCAATTCCCCACAAGCTGCTCCACAGCGAGCTGTCACCCCAAGAGGTGTCCTGAATTTCCATCTTGAGCTCTGAACCTGGGTCCCGCCGACCAAAAAACGACTCTCTGCGACGACGGATCCTGCTTAGATCCAGCAGCCAGAATCGAGTTCGGGACAACAAAGAACCCCTGACTAGCGCTCCAGTCTCATATCCTCAGGTTCAGTGGTATTCGAGTATTCGACCCCGAAATCATCCGAAATGCACCCACCCCAAACCAAAATCGAAACGGAGGCAGGCCAGGAGCCCTGGTATAGGGAGTCTGACCCATCAAACGCGGTCGGCAAACTTGAAGCGAAGCGCGCCCCCGGGTGCAGCCCTGCGGGGAGTCCACGGTGAATCGAATGTGCTCAGAGCCAAGATCCCCCAGCTGAGCGTGAGGGAACACCTCGCATCAACATGGATCAAATTGACTTAAGGTAAAAACATGCATGTAATTTATCACCGTCACTAAAATATCACGTGACATATATTTACTATAATAGCTGTAACTAATATAGCATCCGTTTGTCGCATGCCCTCACCAGCGCAGGGAATCTCCGAAAAACCATTGACCATTGAACCTTGACCATTGACTGCACATGCTACGGTTGGCAAAAGAAGAGTTGACCAGTCAGAAACTCTCCGAGGGATGGTTCCAACTTCTGGGATCGCTTTCTGGGGCTTCTCAGCCCCTAGGGCCCCAAACAAAGTGGTCCATCGCATGGTCAAGACGCACAACCTGGGGCCTGGAACATCCTCGCTGCACCTGAACCCTCTGCGCAGGATCATGACCCGCCACCGCCACCCAATGGCGACTCAGTCACGCGTGAGGCACGTCTCATTCACCGACGTGGAGGGCCCTGCTTTGGCGCACCTGCCGTTGAGGACGAGGACCGTTCTGCCGAACATGGGACCCGAACAGGCAACAGGTACGACTGGGGCCCCATTTGGAGATATGACGACTTGAGACGTCCGGAGATCTGGACGTTCTTGACTATAGATGCAGGTGCCATGGCACCTGTTGATTCTTTGTGGTCCAAGCATGCATCTAATCTGAAAATGCAATATATTTTATATATAAATAGTAATACAACATGATTTAATACTCTAATGTGTGATCATGTGTGTGTGTCTCATGCGTATCATGTTATGCACGCCATGCACGACCGGACCGTCCGCGTTTTCGCCACGCCCGAGCGGTGCCGACCCCGGCCTCATGGGATTGAAGAGACCGAAGGAAAGGACGGCCGGACTCGACGGACTCGAATGTTCGATGTGGTCGATGCATGGAGAATTGCGTCATAGACTATACACACCTTCTAGTCTAGACCAATCAATGCATGACCATGTCCAATTTCAAAAGCAGTTTGGGCCACGTGGGGTTGTTGCACGTGCGGTTGTTGCACGAGAGTTTCTTCGGATGGTGGTCCTGCATCGACGCTGTTGATTATGATCATATCGCGAGAACTCGTTGAACGACATAGAGTCCTCATTGAAATGAATATGCTCGTGATTCCAAAAGGCATCGAAAAGGAGGAACTCTTGCTTATGTGCCATGCCACTTGTGAAGGTGATCTGTTGAGGGAGGATGAAAAGATGTTCAGGATGCGCAGCTTGTCGTGCTTGTTGCGATTGTCAAAACGATTATCAGGACTGCTTTAGCAGGCAGAGATGAAGCTAGCTGAATCATGCTGAATCCATGACAGGCGACTATCCAGGTTTGAGCCGACATGAGTAAAGACAACGATGACTGACACGTATATGTAGCCTGGGGGGCGTTCCCGGTTGGTGTCTCCTTTTGACGTTCTATGAAAGCCTGTCCTCATTTTGTGGGTGTCGAACCTGGTGTCTTCACTGACATCTGCTTGCCTTGATAGTCGTGCAGAATACCTTGCTTGCCGACTTCTTGGTCACCTAGCAGAGGCCTGAGGGGCTGAAGGGAACATATATTATTGCAATTATATACTGAACACCCCAATAAGGCCTGGATGGGGGAACTGTGAATAAGGGATCCAATGAAACTTGATGGGTGAACACAGGAAAGTGATGCTGTGGGTCCTGGAAGAGGGGTCACCCGTGGGTCCTGCCTTCTCCAGGCGGTGTAGTTGGGGCCATCCATGAACACCATCCAACAGAAACACCACATGAGTTCCTGATTCGTAGTAAGGCCAGGAGCCCCTGGCCCTAGTAGCATCCTTGCTCCTAGGGTCCTAGGGCCAATGTATTTCAGGGAGTGTATGTACTGTAGACGTAACACGTGGACCTATCGAAGACTGAAGACTGACCACCGCTCGGTGTCGAACGACGTCGGACGTTTCTCCGCAAGTGCGGGGCGGTGGCTAACTTTGAGCCGTGGCGAAGAGAGTCCTGTTCAGGGATCCCCAACGATTCCAAGCAGCGAACCCCGAAGCCTTCCCTCTTCCAACCGTGCCGTGGAGTGCCGCAAAGAAAATGAACGGGTTTAGCAATTCACCAAAGGATCCAGGACCATCCTGAGGAGGTTCCAACTTTTGCTCCGACCATGCTCAGGAAGTGCTTCGACCAGGTACTTGGGACTGTCCTTGGGACCCTCAAAGGGTTGATTTATCGTAAGAAACAGGGACATCTCTCGTGCTAAAGAAACTCTGCAAATTGGATCATGCTCCTCTCATCTATTCAACTTTAAATTCGTGAACGTGTTTCATGCTTTTACGGTTCTCCTGGAATGCGCTTGGTGCTCAAACAGGATCATGAGCACAGTGTTGCGCTGCCTTGAATCATTCCAAGCCTCTGGAAACGTCAATTCGTTCCCAGCAATATGCCGTTCCTTTGGGGTGTCCATTCATGCAAGAATAATTGAGGACAAGTTGGAAATCCCAGTATACATTCAGTCAAATCTCAACAGCTGCTACATCAAATGGCCCTCAGGCCGGAGGCCTTGCTTAGCATGAGGCCTGGATTTGTTCGACGTTTGATGCACCAGGATGCACCAGGAACAGCTGATGTTGGATGCATTGCCCCAAAGGCACGGCACCTTTGATCGTTCCATGGAGCCATTGGTGATGGGCTCAGCTGCGCGAGGGCGAGGCCGGCCCCAAGAGAGATGAAAGCGAAGGCGATGGTCCATCTCAATAGCAATTCGCATAGCCAACATCTCTTGAGTGGTCATCAACATTCTTTCTGGTTGGTGGCGATGTAAGCATCATTCAACCACATGACGAGACTATATTAACAACATCAGCAACACAAAGACTCGACACACGCATTGAGTATGAGATCCCTATTGCTTCAGCCTAGAGGAGACCAATGACCTTGATTGCACCCGCTGGAGTATCTTTAGTCACGGTAGTCCCTATCCTCACTGTGAATCAAGCGGGACATAACTTGCTTCATGAAAAGAAGGGACGCGTTGGGGGTCCATTCCGTGAGGCTCTTTTCTTGCGTCGGACACGCAAGCCAAATGATATCGGTCCATTTTTGGGGTGCATGTCTGTCTCATTAGTCTCGCGCCGACCAATGGCCGCTGATCGGGTGTGCCACACGCCCTGGTGTGCCACACGTGTGCCGCGACCGGTGGTTCAGCCCTCGCGAGCCTCGACACCAGGAGCCCCGAGTCGTGGTTTCTTCGTCCCACTCCGATACGCGCCGAGCTCGACGGGGAGTGTCTATAGCAGCAGACTGACGACAAGGGCGAACAGGTCAGACCCTCCAATTCGCGTAACCGCATGATGGGGGTGGAGAACTGCCTGCAGCTCCGAATAGCTCCCTGTTTCAGGGAGAATATTGAGAACCCCAGCAACTCGCAGTCAGTCGCTCCCTCCTGAGCACCAGCTCTAAGCAGCTTCAGGCTGAGCCAGTCAGTCCAAATCCTTTCGCGCCGTCCACGCAGGCTCGTCATTTCTTGGCCTGCCGTTCAGCACCCAGGTAGCTTGCACCGCAAACAGTCGATCGAGGCACCCTTCCAAGTTGGTGGATCTTCGTTAAGCCTTTGGGACGTTTTTGATTTCCCCCACCCATGGCAGCCCCACAACGCTGGCATAGCGGTGAACCGACGCAGGGAACCCGCGTCCTTCGCGTTTGAATGGCGGGTTCAAGGCTGTTCGGATAAAAATCCACCATGGGCCATAACATGTTGTATCACTAGGCTGGGCTCTGGGAGGCTCACACCGAAGGGACTGAAACTGAGGTAGGGACGGCGACGGCAGTAAAACGATCATGAAACGTTGGACCAAAACACCGAAAAAAACACATCGAATCGCTGATACGTCCAGCGATTCGTCAATCGTCCAAATCGCACCTGGTAGCCCCAGTTTCACAAAGAGACAATCCAATGAATTGTCCGGTGGAAAATGGGAACACTGAGCTTGTTGCGATGGCTTCTGGGCTGCAAAAGAGTTGCCCTTGGTCCAAAACTTACCTGTCCGATCCGGATCTTCGACTACAGCCCCAAAAGTCTCCACACCGTTCAGAAACTCGCCATGATATCTGAACCTGAATTTCTAGAGGAAAGGACCATTGAACATTCCAAGTAACCATCCTCAGCTTCGCTCCACGTTTGGGTCCTGGACCTGACCCCCTCGACCCGACCGGGGTCCGGTCGCTTCGCCTCCTTGACGCGAAAGCCCAAGTTGATGCTCGCCCTGGACGCGGATTGTTGACTCGGTGGGTGACCGGGGTGTCCAGCGACTGGAGGGTCAGCGACGAAACACCCCACCGGAACCGAAATGCGAATTCGTGATGCCCCCACCTTCCCTTGCTTCGGAGATTGTTCGGTCTCTGTAAGAGACATGTGACAAGTGAGTGACTCAAGTTCACACATGGTGGATTGCTTGGTCAAAGCCACTGAAGTCATATCAGATATGGGTGATCTGTTCTGCAGAAGTCAAAGAATATGAGGGTGACTGGTCAGATTAGACAAACCCACACCGGCCGTGCCATGGTCGCGAACAAAACATGGCTGTGCCATGCCGTGCCTGGAAGCATGTCGGCAAAAGTGAAGACGTGGTCTCTTTGTAGCAAAAACAATCCCAGAAGTCCATGGAGTGGTACAAGGAACATCACTTGTTCACTCTCCAAAGTTGAGTAGACCATGAGTATACTTTTTGCACTCAAAGGGCCTGATCTTCCCCAAAAGCCGATCGGATCGTTATCACAAGGCTGACCGAGTTTGGCAAGGTTTCACTCTTCCATCTCTTCTGAGTCTCACAAGCAGAACTATCTTCGTTGTTGCACACCACACGTTGCCACCGCGACTTGCTGCTAGGAAGGAGCCACAAAGAAGATTGGCGTTCACAGCCTGTAACTGCACGGAGCACAATCATTGCATCCACCTTCCAAGCATGATCCAGTTTAGTCTAGGTTTGGGCACCAGTATCTTTGGTTTAGACCCAGGCTAGCTTAATCCATATAAACCCTTTGAATAGATGGTTCCAACTCCAGTCCATGGAGAGTCTCCCGGGGGCCGTTCGCAACGAAGCCAGTTGACAAAACCTGGTGCCGGTGCCCTGACCGAATGCCCGCCCAATGGCGCCTCACTGATCCCATGTTCATCTCCTAACCAGTCCGACGAGTCCACTGGTCGCGTCCGATCGCTCCGCTCGTCGCGATGCGCAACATGTTACGAGTAGCTTCCAGTTGCTCCTAGTAGTAAGGCCAGGAGCTACTGGTAGCAGCGATGGCCTTTGTTACTAGTAGCTTCCATGTAGTTCCTAGTAAGGCCAGGAGCTACTGGTAGCAGCGATGGCCTTTGTTGCTAGTAGCTTCCATGTAGTTCCTAGTAAGGCCAGGAGCTACTGGTAGCAGCGATGGCCTTTGTTACTAGTAGCTTCCATGTAGTTCCTAGTAAGGCCAGGAGCTACTGGTAGCAGCGATGGCCTTTGTTGCTAGTAGCTTCCAGTTCCTAGTAAGGCCAGGAGCTACTAGTAGCAGCGATGGCCTTTGTTACTAGTAGCTTCCTACTAGTAAGGCCAGGAGCTACTAGTAGCAGCGATGGCCTTTGTTGCTAGTAGCTTCCAGTTCCTAGTAAGGCCAGGAGCTACTGGTAGCAGCGATGGCCTTTGTTACTAGTAGCTTCCATGCAGTTCCTAGTAAGGCCAGGAGCTACTGGTAGCAGCGATGGCCTTTGTTGCTAGTACCTTCCATGCAGTTCGTAGTAAGGCCAGGAGCTACTGGTAGCAGCGATGGCCTTTGTTGCTAGTAGCTTCCAGTTCCTAGTAAGGCCAGGAGCTACTAGTAGCAGCGATGGCCTTTGTTACTAGTAGCTTCCTACTAGTAAGGCCAGGAGCTACTAGTAGCAGCGATGGCCTTTGTTGCTAGTAGCTTCCAGTTCCTAGTA